TTTCCTTCTCTGCGTTACACACATCCACTTTTACCAAAAATCTAATATACCCCTTAACTATTTGAGTACGGGTATAAAAAAAAAAAAATAAAATAAAAAAATCAATAATATTGCAATAGTCGTGAACACCAAATATATTCTTGCACAAACTAATCCAGCAACATGGACATGGGTAATATGACCAACATTGAAGAGGAGAATATGTAACGTGCAACGAGACTGCAAAAAAAACGGACGTTACGATTCGTGGGAGCTGGGCACGCTCTAGCTCGTTGGCTTTGGGGTAGAGTTTTTGCTCTCCCAAATCAGTCCTGTCTCGTTACTCCTATTATACATGAAAGTTAATTATATATGGAAATGATTTACCGCTGGCTCGAAAATGCAAATTTAAACTAATGATAGTTGTCGGGCCAAGCACCCTAAATATTATTTCATTATTTGCACTGTCCACTGAACAAATCATTGTTAATAAGCCTATGTTTATGCACGTCAGCGGCCGCTCTTTCATTTATATCTGGCCTTCTTCGCTTTGTTGTTGCAGTTGCAGCATCTAAGCTGGTCTCTCTCGTTCCATATGTCGTTCGTGCTCAGCTTAGCATCTGCCCCGATCTGCTCTCCTTTCATCACTCGCTTTCACTCTCTTTCAAGACTTGCTGCATAGGGCGCTGGCAAGTCGGCCCATCTGCCCTTGTAGACAATTGAGAGATAATCTTACTATCCATCGCATCACTTTATTATATCGCTCATACTGACGCATATTTTCCCGTACCAATACGAAATAAATTGTACAACATTACCCATTGAAACTCTAGACTTTTTCTTAATAATAACTGAGTTTCAAAGGCTATTAAATACTCTTAATATCAAAACAATAATGATATGACAGTATATGCAACAGCGGATTGCAACTAAGATGTGCTTATTTTTAAAGTATGAATTAAACTGAGGAAGTCTTAACAATGGAGATTTCATTAATACTTATTTTCGAGAAAAAGCAACTATGCGACATTTTAATCGAACTGAGGCACTATAAATTTGCTTAAAAAAATGGTTTTATCGAATATTTAGGCTCGTTCCTGCTACAGCTCGAAAAGGTGGTCGTCCCTGATACATGTGCGTGCTGGATAACGACACGGTGCGACAGAATACGGCGGTTCCTGCGCCGATTGAAGAAACGTCTGTCTCCTCACACCAGATTCTTATACGATGGCGTCTACTGCATCTGCGTGGTTGCACGTCAATACGGGGCGAAACGATAGCGGCAGGTGGCTCTAGTAGGACATCGTTGGGCTCTTCGCACCTGCTTACGCCTTCATACGCGCCTTGGCGCGTCGATGAGGGTCGTGCCCTGTCTAGTGTGCCTTGTAGGTTACGATGTGGTAGAACGGTAGGTTCTGCTGTTCCTACTCCAGTTTCTCGCGGTCTGCGTCTAGCGGCTTACTTTGCTCGAAACTGGAATGCGCGGAGCGTATAGGTGGTGTGGGTCGCTTTCCCACGTGATAGGTGAAAGACCGTCCGGTGTTTGTTGTAGCGTTCACTTTTCCGCAGGGTGAGATCAGTTTCTGGACTCTCTTCTCCAGTCACACTCTTAAACGAGCACATGGATCAGCGAATACGTACGCTATGGAAAAAAACTGATTTAAACCCCGTTCAGAGGACTTTCTCACTCGCACTCACCACAAATACGGCAATAATCTAGGGGATCAATATTTTCCACTCAATAACACCTTTGTTTGCGGCAGTTTTATTCACGGATGGCACCATAAAATAAAACTTTTCTACGCGTTGCACAAGAACCCCACCTAACATTGTTTGAACTTTTCTTGTCAAACGATGATCACGTGCATCACTGGGCTACGAGATCAATATGGATTCCTTGTTTTTTCAAAACTCTAGCCGATTTATTTGTCCCGCCAAACCTATCGAGTTTTGGGACCAGGTCGCTTCAGGCCCGCTACAAAGCCCCCCACCAAATCAGACTAGGGGTATCCACTAGGCTGATACAGAATTAAGCGACTTTCATTGTCGAATGTCCTTGGCGTGATAGTTGCCCAACAATCGCCCTTGCAAGTCTTTCAACTCGTAACAGAGTCCCTGTTACTACCCAACTTCCTACGAACTGGAGCCTTTACGAAGGCTTGTCCAAACTTGGCATTGTATCCCGTTTGGAAGCAGCTCTTTTTAAAGTTCCTTCTTAATACTTCCTGTCCTTCGGAGAACTCCATGCGACGCGGATCTCAGAGCACACGAAATGCGACTTAAGTACTCGTCCCAATCTTTCTGATTGGTTCGCAGGTACGCTCTAGTCCCACTAATTATAGACCGGTTCACACGCTCAGAGGCATTAGCTTGGGGGAGGATACACGGCAGTTAGCGTGTGAGTTATTTCATAGCGACTCAAAAGTTTACGGAATGCTTCGGATCGAAACTGTGACCCGTTATCGGATACGATTGTTTTCGGAACCCCAAAGGTCATGAACAATTCTGATTCGAGATACTTAACGACCACGTCGGCATTTATTTTTCTGACCGGCTTCAGGAATACGTATTTCGAGAAGTGGTCTAGTACGATAAAGATGCCTATGTTCCCGTCTCTAGACATGGGATATGGTCCTAGAAAATCAACGAACAGTCTTTGGAAAAACCGCTGAAAAACCGGGCGCTCTCCCCAAAAGAGGTCGAAAAACACAGTTCGGCGCTTTGGTTGTTTTGCGAACGAGACAAGCGTTGATGTATGCCTTTACGTCGGATGCTAGTCCAGACCAAAAGTAATAACGTCTTACGCGTTCAATGGTGTTGTGAATCCCTCCGTCGGATGCTAGTGGACTGTCATGAGCACAAGCAAGGAACCATTATTTTTGGTAACCACAGCTTCCAAACTTACTCGTCATGGACCTGTTCTCCCGTCAGATGTTCAGCACGTCGGTACACAATCCCGTTGTCCGTTCTTAAATCAGGATGTTTGTCCTGGTTAGCCTGGACACTAGTACCTTCGTTGAGCCTTATTTAGCTTTTTCGAAACAAAGGCAATTGGACATTCGTCTCCCTCTTTGGACAACTGTACTAGTACTCCTCGTTCTCCCGTTTTGCTGGCGTCGCAATGGATGTAGAAAGGACTTGAAAAGTCGGCACTTCTCAGTACTGGTGCCTCACTGAGACATTTCTTCAAACTGTCGAACGCTTTCACTTCTTCATCGGTCAGATCGAATTTATGTTTTGTGGTCATGACGTCAGTCAATGGAGAAAAGAGCGAAGCGAAATTGGATACCACCCGCATAGACCCGTAAAGCTTCTTAATCCCTTCAGATTTTTTGGCAAAGGAAAACTGGTGATCGCTTCAATCTTCTCGGGATCTGGTAAAGAGGCCTACCAGGAAACGTAAAAGCCGTCTTATCCCGAGACTTGATCTATAACAGTACTTTCCAGTAAGCATCTTTTAAATCAAGACTTGTGATGTACTCTGTTTTCGGCAATTACGCCTGACTGTAACATCCGGTCTATTTTGGTATACATGTCTGTTCGCGTTCGACTCCCAGCGTCCCTAATCACTTATAAAGCCACGGCCTCACCTGGCTTTATCCACCTTGCGGGGGAGTTGTAGATTTACCGAGCAAAAATGTGAAAAATCGAGCAAGTCATTCTGAATATACTTTGAAACGAAACACGGTCTTGGGATTTTGTTTCTTCTGATTTCCCCGAAATCGCCCACACAGCCCTCGTCGCCCTCTGGACTCCTCAGATGCCTGCGTGCCCCTCCGTTTTGGTCCTTCGAGCCAGCTAATTAAGCATTGGAGAGATTCCCCCCTACGATCCAGCTTGCAGCGCGGGAACTTTAAGGAACCGGAATCCCAGCTAAGTAAAAGCTTCGTTCATTCTAAGACACTCCGTCCGTCATCCGCATCTCCAGAATCCAAGTATATGTATGTACATACCACCTAAGTCCCATTTTCCGCAAAATCCGGCACCCTATATATGCACTCCAACGCCTGTTCTCGCTCTTTATTGCCTAAGACACTCATGCTGCCTACTCCGTTGGCCCTCCTGTATTCCTATCGGTCTTCCGCAATCATTCCAAGCGAGGTTTTTCTCCTCCTACAACAGGCAGCTCATACATATATGTATGTACAGATGTACCGCTGCTGAGATCCGTCGCCATTCCACAGGTGTAAGTACGTACATATGTATGTACACACAATCCGTCCCACACAACATAAAACGCCATTAAATACAAGACAAACATACAAATTTATTTATTGCGCATATTACAATTATTTCAACATAACATACATAGCTCACATCCATATGTACATATATTTTCACCGGCTTATAAGCACATCCACATACATACATACGTACTGAAACAACTATACATACTAACAACACCGGCTAAAACAAATTGCACGATCATTGCCCGCTAACTAACATCTGCCCGCATATATAAAATACCCCATTAAATATTTTATTTCCGAACATTGCACCGGCGTTCAATACCTAACGTTTTATCCCCAATAAATACGAAAATACGCTTTGTTTGTGTTGTTTACATTTTAGTTCAAGATCGATAAATGTATAAGTTAACAAGAGTTAACTGAATTGTCCACTGGATGGGACGAATTCTGCAGTATTGTAAAATAAGCAGTTTCGTCACCCGTGGGCTCGCCGTCGTTGCGATCGCCGGATGCTGGCCGCATCCGGCACGAGGCGCAAGGTCAGAACTTTGGCCGTCAGGTAAGGGTTCGAGGTTGGGGAGTTTAGAGTTTTAAGTTTAACAGATCCATCAGCTGACTATGCCTTCTAGTGGAAAGAAAGTCAGCAAAAAACTAAAGCGTGTAAGCTAGCAAAGTGATGCAAAGCCGCCCAGCTCTTCCGCAGTAGTAACTACACCCACTTCTTCTCGTTCGCCCTCACGCTCGCGAGGTCCGACCACTTCTAAGGTTTGCCAGTCCATATTCGACACCCTGTTGTGTCCCTCACCATCCACGTGCACGGTTCCAGGCACAATGGCCCAATCTGCCGCCAGTTTTGCACGGTCTTGGTTTGCTTTGGCTACAGGCCGGCTCACTCACTTTGACCAGAAACTTAATGCTCCTGATGCCCGCACCCCAACCATCTCTCTTTCTCAAGTCCGCCGGGAACGGACCCGAGGCATGTGGTTGGACGTCGAAACGGAGTATCGAGCCTGTTCCGCCCTTCTAGCACCAGAGGATCCAGATGGTCAAGTTGAGGTCCAAGATATGGACGATGACTGCTACGCGGTGTACGAGCAAAGTTTAGCTGAACTCAACGAACAGATCAAGCCCCCAACTGTCATTCCGACCGCGCAACCAGCCGTCCAGGTGCAAATGTCCAACGGTTACCGCCTTCCTCCATGTGACACGGAGGTTTTCAGTGGGGACTACCAGCAGTGGCCCACGTTCCGAGACCTATTCACCGCCATCTACATAAACAACGCCAGGTTGACTCCGGTGGAGAAACTAAACCACCTCAACAAGAAAAGGAGCGGTGAAGCCCACAACATAGTGGCACAGGCTCCGCTCACGAATGATGGGTTTGATTCCAAAAATTTCCAAAAAAAAGTCTGATACTCAAGGCCCAGCTCAAGATACTTTTCAGCTTGCCTTCCATCCGATCTGAGTCTGGAGCTGCCTTAAAGGAGCTCCAGAGGTCTGTCCACAAATGCCTCACGACCATTAAGCACTCCGACGTGTCCACAGACAGCTGCTTTGCAGATGGCATGCTGGTGTACCTCATTACCGCGAAGTTGCCAAAGGCGACCGTGGAGCTTTGCGAACAATCGGTTCCGAACAAATTCGAGGTTCCGACTTGGCGCGCCATGGACAAGTTCTTAGCGGAGAGATACCTCTCTCTCGAAGCGACCGAGGACGGTCATCCAGGCATCGAGACGCATTAAAATTCCCGTACAAGCCTTTCCACTCCTGCTCCTCGAAGAGTCAACTCCTTTGAAGGGAGAATCTCCAACAAGGCGCGCACATGCGACCTCTGTTCCAGGAGTTATCATCCGGTGCGATCATGCCCAGAATTTCTTCGCCTGACCGTACAGGAACGGTCAAGCCACATCCAGCAGAAACAACTCTGCTTAAACTGCTTCGCGCGCGGACACCAACTCCGTGACTGCACCTGCGCGTACAACTGCAACACCCTCCTTCATCGGGGCGAGCAGACTCCGAGTGGGTCCAACTGTGCTACCACTCCTCACACCACGCAAGCCCCTACCACCATACAGTCCTCTTCCTCTTCTCTTCCTTCGTCCAACGACTCGGCCCATGTCCAGAGCTATTGTTCTACAATTGTTCACCAGGTGCTACTGGGCACAGCAATATTGGACATTTTTCATGCCGGCACAAGATACAAGTTTAGAGCCTTGATCGACTCTGGATCTGAAGCCACCTTTATTACTAAGCGGATGTTCAAAATCATTCGGCCGCCCTTCCAAGCCGTCCAGGGTCAAGTCTCCGGTTTGAATATTCTTCCGCAATTGGCAGGTAACCTCCCGACATACCCTGTACCGCAGAACTACATGACAGACCTTCCTAAACTCCATTTAGCGGACCCCTCCTTGTACCGCTGCTCGCAGATGAACATGCTTATAGGCGCTGATATCTTTCCATCCATCCTTTTAAGCGGCTTCCGGTCCAACATTTGTGGCTCGCTCTTGGGCCAAGAGACTATCTTCGGACGGGTCCTATCCGGTCCTGTCGCAGCTGACTCGTCTCGAATGATCTCTTCCTTCACCACGAAGATCTCGGTCAGCTTTGACGTCCGACTCGAGATACTTCTCACAAAGTTTAGGGAGGTGGAGGACCTTCCAGGCAGATCTACGAGCGAGTCAGACTCCATTTGCGAGGACAATTTTCTCCAGACAACGCAGCGAGCTCCCGACGGGAGATACATCGTCACTCTTCCATTCAAATTTCCAGAAAATATAGACTTGGGCTACTCCAGGCCTTCGGCTCACACCCAGTTTCTGAGAAACGAGCAGCGTCTGCAGCGAAACTTGCCTCTAAAGGAGCAGTACGACGCCGTCATTCACGAGTATTTAGAGCTAGGCCACATGACACAGGTTCCACCTAGTCATGACTCCGGCAACTTCTATCTTCCACACCATGCTGTTTTCAAGCCAGAAAGCACAACGACCAAGGTGCGCGTGCTCTTCAACGCGTCCAGCCCGTCTTCGAACGGAAGAAGCCTTAATGACATATTGCATTCGGGGCCAGTCCTTCAGTCCGACTTGACCACGCAAATCCTGAAGTGGATCGTATTCCGATACGTTTTCAACGCCGACATCAATAAGATGTATCGGTATATCCTCGTGGCGCCACAACACACTTCATACCAACGGATTATCTTTCGCAATCCCAGCGGGGACGTGTGCGACTATGAACTCGATACGCTCACCTTCGGAGCGCCATTTCTCGCCATTCGCGTCCTAAGGCAACTCGCACAAGAAGTGCGTCCTAGGTTCCCAATGGCAACCGACATCCTGACCAATTACATGTACGTATACGCAGTTCTAGCTGGTGCACATACCCAGCCTCCGGCAATTTCCGCCATCGCCGAGTTGCGAGAAGCACTCGATTCCGCCGGCTTTCCACTCCGAAAACGGGCCGCAAACCGTCGACAACGGGACCACCACATATGAGACCAGGGCGTTGATCGCCCCCTGCCGCACCATGTCAGTCATCAACACGTCGCGTGCCAAGGCTTTTCAATTGCGCACGTCAATTGGGCGGGTCCCGGGCCTTGAAATTGCAAAGGCGGCGGGATGTTCGCGTTCGACTCCAAGCGTCCCTAATCACTTATAAAGCCACGGCCTCAGCTGGCTTTATCCCACCTTGCGGGGGAGTTTTAGATTTACCGAGAAAAAATGTGAAAAATCGAGCAAGTCATTCTGAATATACTTTGAAACGAAACACGGTCCTGGGATTTATTTAACGACGTCGATAGAATGCGCGATTAGTTTGGTTTTACCCAAGCCATCTAGAGGAAACGAGGGATAACATTCGATAACCTTGGACACTCGGTCCCTTTCGATTTTGGTCAACGAATGTTGCTCCTCGCTATCCTTTATTTGTGGTGCTGCTATTTCAGACACACGCAACCTGCTCGGCAACAACTCAAACAAATTCCAAAAATCAATTCCGAGATAAAGGTCATGTTTCAGTGAGGGAATCAAATATCTCCAGTGACTTTTTTTCATCTCCGTACGCGACGTCTATCCTCATTTTTCCTAATTACCGTTGAGCTGGTCCATCAGCGGTGTTAGCATTCTCCCTGATTCGCTTGTATAGTACGTTTCCGCCCATTAATTCGCTCGCTAAACTACCTCTTATGCAACTGATACAAGCTCCAGAATCCAATAATCCGTATACTGTACGGTCTAGCAGTTGAATAGGTAAAAACGATCCTTGGTCATTTCAGAGAGAGCGCATAAGTATGACACACTTGATCTACACATCTTCACAGCCTGCCAGAAACGGAACATGCGCTTCCTTCCCCAAAATTTATAATTCCCTCCAGTTTTATGCGAGTTACATCCGGTACATAGTACATCCGATACTAGTTTGCAATACAACGAGAAATCGTTGTTGCTTTTTTGAACGTCGGGTTCAATCAAGGATGATACTGTTTTTAACTCCCAATTTAATCGGTGTTGGGGCCCTGAAGGCGAAGCACACTCGAAGTCTTCGGTTTGTACGGCAACGTCGTCGTGCTGAACTTTGAGTTATTTTAACATTTCTCAAAACTCGGTTTATACGTGTTGGCGCCTCCACAGCCATAACAAAAAACTCTTCGATCTGCAACACAATCTTGATATCTGTGACCGGCCTGATGACATTTCCTACAGATCAAAGATATTGCCTTTACTTCCAACTCTCTTTCAGAGTCCGCGTCTTCCCGTAATTCATGGTCGAGCTGTAGTTCTGACACGTCACGTCGGAACGGAACAGCCTTGGTGTATCCATGAGTACCTTTGACGTCTTCTAAGAACATCTCACGCCGGCGGCAAGAGCTTTATGAGCTCCTGAACGGTCTCTAATTCTATATTCAATAGTTCATTCCGTATTTCTGGCCGTAAGTTGTGACAAAGTAAACGGACGAGCTTGCGAATAGGCCACTGTACTTCCAACTGATCCGTCAGGCTAGAAATCGCCTCATAAAATGTATCAAAAGACTCATTAGTCTTTTGCTTTCTATTCCGGATTAATTCTTCGATGTCTATGTCATCTTTCTCTTGTCGAAACTGTAAGCGTAAAGCCTCACATAACCTATCCCAGCTGACCACTGAAACGGACTTGTGACTTGTGATGTCGCCAGTAGAATTAATTGGATTATCCCTCAAATAGAACACTAGCATTTCGACACTGCACTGAGAAGTTCCCTTCTAGCGTCTGGTGAGTTAGTGCCTCGACTCTATATATGATGTTGTCAATAGACACACCGACCCCAGAGAACTTGATTTTCCAACCATTCAGTATCTGTACTACTTAGTCTGGTCTTTGACCTAGCTCAACTCCGCTGTGGTGACGGAAAACCTACGTCCTGTGGTACATGCCTGCAACTGAAACTGGGTTCCGCTTCCGGCCTAACCATTCGAGGTGGCTCTTCTGGAGGCGTTGGTGACCGAGTTTCTACTGTAGCAGCTGCTGAAAGACTTGGCAGTACGACCATTGGCTGAACAGTTTCAGTCACTAACCTTTGGATTAAGTCCGACATCCTTTTGGACAAGGCGTTGAGCAACTTTCTCACCAACGACGCCAGGTCTATTCCCTTAGAGGTACTAGCTTCCTCTTCTCCCCTCGGACGCTCTTTAGACAGCGAACGAGTATTTTTGCTATTGTCTTAGCAATAGCGCCATTAGCGGTTCTTATCTTGATCTTACATTCCGGACAAGAGTCGCTCGTCTTCAAATACGTCGTCATACAGACGATGTGAAACTCGTGGGCACACGCGGTTGGGTAAACCTCGTTGGAAGACTGAATCGATTCCTTGCACAGCGCACACACAATACCGGTGCTGCCACCAGCCTCGGACGAGTCCCTTTCGGGAGATCGATCCAATCCCATCTTGAGATTCTTCCTCCTACTAAGTACTACTAACAACTTCTTCTTAGATCTCTCGTCAAACTTCTATAATGACCAAATTGTTTCCGGAGCCTGATACCCTCTTCCAATCAGTTCTCCGTGCTTAAGGTTATAACAACCAATAAATTTTTAATCTACTTTCAACAATAACTCAATATGCTTGAACTAACTCTTAAACTCAATGCAGCTTCTGCGAATTGTAGGGTCCTATACATATACCGATACCTCCCTTAAACAAAAAGGTTAGAGCTACCACTCTCAAGCACACCGTATCGTCGTGGTCAGCCAGGAACTTCCAGACTTCTTCATCAAAACGAACGATTGTACCTGCAAGTAGGTCGCAGTCGAAGCAGACAGACAACGGTTCAACGACCGGTTTCGGTAATCCAGCTTTCGACGGTTAGCTCTAATACTATTTAGCGGAAAACTCAAATAAAGATTTTCTTCGGCAACCGTGGAAAGAGAGTCTCTCGAAAGCGGTTTCTCTATTTTCCGAAGCGGTAGCAAGAAGGAAGCAATCTAAATTCGAACCAGAATAAGCCAATAACGCGGTAGTGTCTACAGTGTCAGGTGGTCAACCGGAGTTGATCTTGTCCTGCTATTCCACTGCTTGAAGTTGCCTAACGTCGCTTGCCTATTTGGACAAATCGACACCGTACAGTAACACTACTCGACAAAATCGAACTTTTTTTTCCTCAAGGATCCAAACCGACTTTTTCTGATAGATATGGGGATTTAAAATTTTTTAAAGAATTATGGTTTTTTTTCTATGGCAGAACTTTTTTTTGAAGAATTTTTGAAGTCTGGTTTTTTTTTTTTTTAGCTTTTTTCAGAGGTAGAGCTTGTTTTTTCACATAGTTCTAGTATCTTACGTCTGGTTGTAAAGAACTTTGCTATTTTGAAAAGATAATTAAAACAGCTAGAAGTTAAGCCCAAACACTTTGTGATTACAGCTTACCGTCTGGGAAATATAAAGCATTGAAATTTTGACTTTAAAAACTCAGGAAAAGTCGAAAAAAAAATTATATCCTGTGTTTTTTGTGTATAGGTGCATTAATTTGGCGTCGTTCAAGGTATCGCTCATTAAAATCTATGGAGAGACTTTGGAGCTAAAATTCGTTAACTAAACCCAAAAAATGAACAAAATGAACAAAAAATACCTTTTGGAAGGTTGGGCCCAACCGCCCAACTGCCCCTCCTTAACATTTTTTTAAAGAATTATGGTTTTTTTCTATGGCAGAACTTTTTTTTAAAGAATTTTTGAAAACTGGTATTTATTTTTTACCCTTTTTTCAGAGGTGGCGCTTTTTTTCACATAACTCTAGTATCTTACTTCTGGTTGTAAAGAACTTTGCTATTTTGAAAGGAACGCGATCAGGTACCAAATGTATAACCCTTTTTCGTTTGCTTTGTTCCCAATTGGCAGTTGGGCCCGCAACCTTCCAAAAGGTATTTTTTGTTACATTTTTTTATTTTTTAGGTTTGGTTAACGACTTTTAGCTCCAAAGTCGCTCCATAGATTTTAATGAGCGATACCTTAAGCGACGCCAAAAAATATCATCAAACCATTTCTAAGCCCCAAATCTTTAAGAAAAAGTTCGTTTTGTTCCTTGAGGAAAAATCGTGTTGACTAGTGTAATTATAACTGTAACGTGCAACGACATTGCAAAAAAACCCGGACGTTACGATTCGAGAGAGCTGGGCAGGCTAATAATTATCCGGCTCTAGCTCGTCGGCTTTGGGTGGAGTTTTTGCTCTCCCAAATCATTCCTGTCTCGTTACTAATATTATTAATAACATTTCCAGAATTAAGCGTGCTGCGACTAGTTGCTAGAACTTTAGGGTAGATTTGACGAAAAAGAATAGAAAGAAGAGGAGAGAGAGGAAGAGGAGAGGAGAGGAGAGAGGAGGAAGAGGAGAGGAAGGGAATCTGTTGGTTCCGGACAGGATTAGGAAAAAGGAGAAGTAAGAAGGGAAACTAAGAGAAGTCGGAGCTTGCCCACTGATGTTATGTGGGGGCTGAACCCACCCTACCTTTGGCCAACATTCTGAAAGCGTACAGCTTCTGATGACCCCATTGGACCTCTTACCAAAACGCGTAAGCTAGCATTGAATTAATTTTTGTTTCTTTATCTATACTTCATCACTATCTCTTATAATACAAGTTTAAACCAACCATGGCGATAATAAAAAAGAATATCTTTTCCGACCCCATAAAGTATATATATTCTTGATCAGCATCAAGAGCCGAGTCGATATAGCCATGTCTGTCTGTCCGTCTGTCTGTCTATCTGTCTGTCTGTCCGTCTGTCCGTCTTGTTTGACGCCTGGATATCAGAGACTATAAGAGCTAGGGCAACCAAATTTGGTTTCCAGACTCATCATCCAGATATATCACTGCTACAAGTGTATTTCAAAATTTCGCCCCGCCCCCTTCCGACCACACAAAGGACGAAAATCTGTGGCAGGCACAATTTTAAAGAAAGGATACAACTTAAAAGTATCGTAGAGAATGCCCAAACCTACCAGATTGCCGAATCTGAATCATATCGGATCA